TTTTCTGGTGCAAAATTAAATAAGGAACACGTTGGTGCCCTCGGAATTGATCTACGACCAATACTTTCGGAGATATCGGCCTCCAAAGTTGAAAAAAGGGGCCAAAATGAAGCAAAATACCCAAATCTTGGGATTTTGGCAACCAATGGACTTATTGACACGATTCAACGCTCATTTTGTAGAAAAAAAGACGCGGAATCCAATGGGCACACGCGCAGGTCTGTACGACGAACCGTTCAGGAGATACGCGGCTCTAAAGATAGCCATTTTTCGTGGGGTGCCGAAAATGTTGTTTTTGCACCTTTTCAGACTGTTGAGCCCACAGTGACACGTATCCTTCCTTCGCGAAGTGCTCGGCTCAGGGGAAGGCGTTTCTTTGGCGAAACGCAGCCCACTGACAGATTAGAGAGAAGGCGGGGCTACCTGAGGTGCTCAGGAAGAAAAACACTCTACAAATCAAAGAGTGTACATGGTACGCTCTAACTGGAGCATGCCTGCAAGCTCGCTCTAACTAGCGCATGCCTGCCAAGCATGCACTAACTAGTGCATACATGCCATGTACACGCTTCCTGATGCAAAAAACTCCCTATCCCTTATGGCGTAAACGTCTCCTTCAGTTAGCGTGTACATGGCATGTATGCACTAGTTAGTGCATGCTTGGCAGGCATGCGCTAGCTAGAGCGTGCTTGCAGGCATGCTCCAGTTAGAGCATACTTTGTACACTCTTTGATGTGTAGAGCACCACTGAGGGTGCCGTGGATGTGGGGAACCCACCATCCACGCAGTACATAAGCCCGTCCCGATTCAGCCCCGATGACCTGTTTCCGGGCCAGAGCCCCGGCCGAGCCCGACTGGAGCCCCGACTGAGTTCCGATGGCCCGAGACCCGACCTGAGCCCGTTGAGCCCCAACCTGAGCCCCACTTGACCCCCGCGCCAAAAACAAAGTAGCAATTTGACCCAAAATCTTCAAAAGAACAGTTCAAACACAGAAGTTTTTTTGGCGTGGGGCCCAAGTGGGGCTCAAACCGGGCCCAGGTCGGGGCTCGGACAATCGGCGCTCGAGTCGGGCTCGGCCGGGGCTCACCTTCACTCCAACGAAGTCGCCGGTCCATAGGCCCCGACCTAGACCCGGGCCGGAGCCGGTCGGGCCGGGCGACCCCCGGTCGCCCAGGGCTTAGCCAAGGCTTAGCCGGATTCCTATAGGGCGACCGGGGGTCGCCCGGCCCGGCCGGCTCCGGGCCGGGTCTAAACCGCGTCGGGGCCTACGGACCGCGACTGATGCAAAAAACTCCCTATCCCTTATGGAGTAAACGTCTCCTTCAGTTAGCGTGTACATGGCATGTATGCACTTGTTAGTGCATGCTTGGCAGGCATGCGCTAGTTAGAGCGTGCTTGCAGGCATGCTCGAGGGGTCGGCAACTCATATATTACTTCGTACGCGGTGGCTATATTACCCGTATATTACCTGTATATTACCATATATTACTTGCATATTACCACAATTTCGCCTCTATAATACCCCTATATTACTATATATTACTTTGTATTACTTTATATTACACATATATTACCTATATTACTGGTAATATACGCATACTCCCTCGTACACGGCCAAGGGAAGTTGCCGACCCCTCGGGCATGCTCCAGTTAGAGCGTACCATGTACACTCTTTGATTTGTAGAGTGTTTTTCTTCCTGAGCACCTCAGGTAGCCCCGCCTTCTCTCTAATCTGTCAGTGGGCTGCGTTTCGCCAAAGAAACGCCTTCCCCTGAGCCGAGCACTTCGCGAAGGAAGGATACGTGTCACTGTGGGCTCAGCAGTCTGAAAAGGTGCAAAAACAACATTTTCGGCACCCCACGAAAAATGGCTATCTTTAGAGCCGCGTATCTCCTGAACGGTTCGTCGTACAGACCTGCGCGTGTGCCCATTGGATTCCGCGTCTTTTTTTCTACAAAATGAGCGTTGAATCGTGTCAATAAGTCCATTGGTTGCCAAAATCCCAAGATTTGGGTATTTTGCTTCATTTTGGCCCCTTTTTTCAACTTTGGAGGCCGATATCTCCGAAAGTATTGGTCGTAGATCAATTCCGAGGGCACCAACGTGTTCCTTATTTAATTTTGCACCAGAAAACAAATTTTCATCCACCTGGCTCAAAATTTACGTCTCATATAAAAAATACCCAAAATACCCAGCTTTTTTCAGAAATAAAAACAAAGTTACCTATTACTCGGCCAGGAAGGCTTCGACCGACCTAATATTTTATTTTTAGACATCTACTTAGGTAAGCAATCTGCCAAGCCATCAAGCGCGGAAATCGAAGGGGGTCACTGTAAGGACCTGTCCTTATTAAATAAATCTACTCTGTACGGAGGAGGCCGTAATCTGAGCGAGGCACGCGGCGCACGGCGCGGCCAGGCCTGGAGGCGTGCCTCCGCGTGCCTGCACTGCTAGGGGGGAAGCAAGGCCCTTTCAAGCCGCCGGGGAAACCGGAAAGAAACTATTTATGTTTTCTTCCCGAAGACGGACAATGAAAACTACGTTCCCTGCATCCGGGCCGCTGCGTGAATCCCCGCGAAACTCTCTGCGGGTGGGCGGGCCGCCCGGTTTTGATCAAACACGCGTGGGCGACTCAACTTGGTGTAAGGAAACACAGGCAACTCGAATAAGTTCCGGGCCGCTCGGTGGAGGGTATGCGAGGCCGTGCGTCGGCAGCCAGACGCGCCCCGCCGCGCCCCGCCGCGCCCAAAGTTGGGGACGAAAATAAGGTCGATGGAAAAGGCCACTGTAAAAGGCTGCTGTGACCGACAGTGACGGTAGCGGTATGAAAAACAAAAACAGTAAAAAAATGAATGAAATTTTTTTTCGCAGTGTAGGCCCTGCAGCGCGCGCCGACCTTTTGGGGTACCCTGGGGTGGGGCCAACGACTCCGACCCGATGCAGTCGCCAGGCAGTCTCGTCAGTTTGCCTCTAGACGACAGCAATCGCCTGTCCAGCGGACTGCTTCCGCAGCCTCGGCTACGTCGCTCTGTCTCCGTCGCACTCATAAGGCGTCCCGTGGAGGTGCGAGAGAGAAGACCAAACATGCTTGCCGCCATTGTTTGTCCTGCTTCTACGGCCGCGCCACCGCCAGGCTCGTCTAGTGCACCTCGGCCACGGGGGTTGACGTTGTGGCGGTGGCGCGGCGTGGCGTTTAACTCGACCATTGTTCGAGGTTTTCACGTCTTTCTTCGCCGTCCCTCCCTTTCTGTTGCACCAACTATCGGGCCCTGGCTCTTCCTTTGTCTACGAGAGCCCTATTCAATAGGAGGAGGAATTGAATTTTGGAAATATTTTCTTACACAAAACGATTTTTTTCTCCAATACTCGGAGTGAATCATCAACTTCTAAAAGAAACTTGTGCATAAGGTGTTCAGAGATTTTCTAAGTCCGCTCCAGCCAATCAATGTTCCGGACGAACCTCGGCCTACCTAACTTTAAATCAGCGTGTCTGTACAGGGCTAGCAGATGCAGTTCAACACAAGAGCGCGTTAAACTTTTGACCGTAGGGCAGTTGGGTTAGCTTAAGAAGATTTGCCCAGCTATAGTCGGTTTCCAGGAAGCTGTCCCCCACCTCCTCCTCTCCAACCCCCTCCCCCACGACACTGATCCACAGCGCCCTTGACTTATGGGTGCAGGTGCTGCGGTCCACCCAGCTATTTATTAAAACTTTCCCCGAGATCCGGCAGAAGTTACCTTCCTGCCCCGGGCGAGCCTCTCGAAATTTGCACAGGTTAAATGGTAAGTCTTCCCGAATCCTCTTTCCATAATTAACTTTTCGTCGCCAACTTTTGAGAGGCTGGCAGTGTGTGCAAGGGCAACACGAAGCCGTTGAACGCCCGTTGCGTGTGTAAAGAGCGGAAAATTAAGCCCCAGTGAAGGGCACCAAGTGCGATTAAAGTTAAGCATTCTAGCAGTGAATCAATCATCAATTTGATGACTTTTTCTGGTCTTAATTTTCATACTCATCTCTCCAGTCTTGTTTCAAAAATCGAGCTGACAAAACCAAGTGTTTCTATTCTCGGTGTTTTTTTTTTAAACTATCTGTGGAGCACCTCAAATTTGTCACGGTCTAATTCTACAGAATCAGTGAGAAAATGCATCGCAATTCCGATGCAGCGAATTGCAGATCGAGGCAGCAGTAAGAGTTCCCAAGGTCTCCTTCGCGCAATGGGACTCTAGGGGTTGGGTCTCCAAGGCCGCCAAGGCCGAGCCAATGGCGTCGGCCCGTCTGCACTGTTATTGTTCCTGCCCATTTCACTTTTCTTTGCTGCGGGAATCAGCCCAAATTGTGCCCCTTTTTTTCTGTTCCGAGGCCGAGAAATCCACTTAGCTGGGCACCGCTCGGCCGCAGCCTGTCGCGATCCACGACAAAAGGCGCTACGCTTGTTTGCACTCGTCATTGCAGTTCACTGCCGTTTTCTGGTTCTCTTCGCGAGGAAAGGCGAAGCCGAGGGGAAGCAACGACTGTTGTTGTTGTTTCAGATTTAATGCGACGTCGACTGGAGGCCGAACAGCCCGGTGAGTTGGATTTGCGGATTTACTCGAGCCAAGTGGGACAGATAAGCCTTTTGCAAAAACCGCGGAAGATACGCTCCTACTCCGGGTGAGTCGATGCTGCGGCACGGTGGAGAGGGGCCGGTGGTGGCGCGGCACTCCACCGTAAGTAAGGCTCGTGGGGCCGCGTGGGGCCCACACTGTGAAGGCGACCGGAGGCAGAGCCAGAGAAGGCTCCCAGAGGGCGTGCTTCGGGTGTCCGTAACATACGTCATGCAACGCTACGATGGGTGCCCCGGATCGCCTGGCCCCGCCTGGCCCCGCCCCTCTCGCTATCTTGCAAGTGAGTGAGGAGGAGAGAGTCAGGAAGGATAAGTCCTCGCTCTCCGACGGAAGCCCCAAACGAGCAGGGTTTACTTCGGTTTCGTTGCAGCTGAGAAGCCCCGCACTATCCCGAGGCAACTACCTGAGTCGTCGACGACGGGGATCGCCATCGCGGAGGTGGTCGACTAGTGCACTGTCAGGGGCTGCTTGAGCGGCGCATCCGGCATCTTCCACACTGGACACAACACGCGCCACTCGGCGAGGGCGGCGGGGCGCGGGGCGACGAGGCACGCGTCGTGAAACTCGCGACCAAGCGACGGCCGACGGCGCGGGGTGCGACTGGATTCGCGGACAAGCGGAGCGGTGGCGCGCCGAGACGCGTCTGAGCGGCGGAGGGAGAGGCCCGACGGCCCGCCGCCTCGTTGCCGCGTGGCGCCGCCCCCTCCACCGCGGAGCACTGCGCGCCGCGCGCCGGTGTAGGAGACGCATTGCACCCGTCGGCGCAGGACACCCCAAGGAGCACCTATCTCAGGTCAACCCAGGTCACAGCAAATATGATGCGTGGCAGAAGCTTTTCGGGTTGCGATTGTGCTTTTGTTTTGCAGGTGTCTTTTTCCCGCGCTGAGGCGTTCACGCGGCCTTGGGCGTGCCATGGACGTGCTTCGGGTTGAGCTGACTTCTCTTCGCCGCCTGCTAATTTAGTGGGGTGTGTTTGTGCTATGTGCTCGACTGAGCGCCACTTTCAAGATGCTGCTGGCTACTCACGCTGTAAACAGCCCGCCTCGTTTCCCTTCTTTTTCTTTTTCTCGCTTGACGCGATCGGCCGCGTTTAGCTGAGATCCAGAGGCCTGCCGCCGTTCGGGCGTTCGTTAGCAACAGGAAGGAGCGATTCAAGTCTTTGGCCCATTCCTCGCCTCTTGCCCCAACCAGAAGTGGGTCAAAATGGCAGAAAGGTCAAATTTTCCCGTCTTGTCGATCAGTCATTGCGACGACATCCTGACGCCACAGACTCGCTGGGAAAGAGTCTTTTGAGGCCCTCGTCTTACTTAAAGAAAAACCGATTCTTCGTTTGTAGAGTATTCTGCTATTTTTGAGGGTTGTCCTCTCACTTTTCCTCAATCTTGTATTTCCGAGAGGCACGGCACACCTCTCAGCTGGTGAGGTTGCGGCTGGTGAGGTTGCTGCTGGTGAATGAGATTCCCGAGAAGGAAATGAATGGCGTCGCAGGTGACGTCACGTCCACCGCCCCTACGCGTGTCACGTATCGCACAGGGCGCTGCGCAGCGCTGCGGACCAAGTCGGCTCTCCGGGGCGGGAAAGGGACAGGGTTTTCGTTTCACGTTTTGCGCTGCTGATTCAAAGGTGCGTTTTCCAGAAGCCCGCACTCCGGGGAGGCACACTTCCATTATGTTTTGTTATTTTTTTTTTGTGTGTGTGTTTTTTTTTCCTTTTTGAAAGTGCCTGTTGTGAATGTGTTACCTTTCTTCCTCTTGATTTCTATGCGGTTGGTATCGCAACATCTTCTTTGTTTCTCCGACTGTTGTAGGGTGGAAAACAAGATAGTGTCTCTGGCAATATTGTTAACATGTTCCCGGGTCAAAAATAAAATTATGTGCGAATGGTTTTGACATTTTTTATTTTTGAAAAATTATAAATCGAAACGATATTTTCTATGAGCACAATCATGTTTATCGTCGGTACATATCACTTACATTATTATTATCATCTGTCAGGTTTATCCTACGCTATTGACTTTCTGATTAATAAATATGCAGACTCGGCCATCCAAAAGTTGGTGAGGATTTCTAGAAATTGAACTCAACATTACTACGTATTTCACGCCAGGTAACAATGGCAGGCAACCAAAGTAATTCAAAAGTCCTCCAACTAAGGGACGAGCTCGAGTTGTAAAGAACTATTCACTGCATTCAAATATTCACAATGAAACACGTGTATATTCAACTTTCAAAAGGCAGGATGGCCTTTTAAAAGCCAAAGTAACACTGTCGCGTGTTGCAGAGAGAATATGTCACGTGACTGACATCCTAAGAATGTTCACTGATAGTTCTGGTTCCCCTCTTCCGTTCACCGCTTTATAGTATAAATTAAACAAACGCACAGCTTACAGGCAGTTCACAACTCAAAAGAAACGGCAGATGAAGAAATACTTTAGGCATATTCGTCGAAATGTGTGTCAACAAAAACACGAATATATGTATAAAGGCATTGCAACAAAATGCAAAAAAACAATTGTACGGTATAAAAAAGTTAAAGGCATGCTTATATGATTTTGTAACTTTGAATGACTGTGAGCAATGATAACTTAAAACTACAATCAACAACCCCGTAACAATATTAAATATCGTTGACACTACAAGTTTTTTTGTTGTGGTAAAAAAAACACGAGTAACGCGTATTGGTTTACAAAACCCTCCTAAGTGGCACATATAAATCACATAATTTTTTTTGTTGGATGTAAGTGTCTACAGGGCTAGGGCTGCTCCTCCCTGTGGCTCTTCTTGGAGCGGATTCTCCGGCCGTAGACGACCTTCCTCCGGTGGGGGGCGCGCGCGATGCCGCCCATGTCGATGTTGGCCTGCGTCATGACCTGCTGGAACGTGTTCTGCGGCGCCTCCTGGCGCTGCTGGCGCGCCCTGGCCATGCCCCTGGGCTGGTAGTTGGTCCTCTGTCCGTAGTACGTCGGCTGCGGCTGCGCGGCGTAGGCACGCGCGCTCTGCGACGGCGGTGGCGGCTGGGACTGCTGCTGGCCGCACTGGTTGCAGGGGTACGGCACGGAGAGCGCCGAGGGGAACATGGGCTGGATGGCCTCGTGGTTGCTCTCGTTGCCGGGGCAGTACGGGTAGAACACGACGGGGATGTAGCCGATGATGCCGTAGGGCTGCGCCGCCTGCCCGTTGTACTGCGGCGGCGCCTGGGGCGGCGGGGGCGGCTGCGCGGAGGTGTCATTGCCGGGCGTGACCAGGTAGCAGGGGCAGGATGACGGGCTGGGCACGATGTTGACGGGGAAGGGGATCACGTACACGGGGTACGGCTTCTTGTCCGGGGAGTAGCTGCCCTGGAGGAGTTCGTCGGGGTGCTCGGTGATGGCGTTTTCGTCGGGGCTGTCTGGGCCGCTGCTGGCAGGCTGGCTCGGCGTGCTGGGGTAGCTTGGCTTGTAGCTGACCTGGCTGTCCGGTCCGCCACCGGCGGGCTCGCTCGGCGTGCTGGGGAAGCTGGGCTTGTAGCTGACCTGGCTGTCGGGCTGGCCGAAGGTGGGGCCTGCCGGGTACACCGACTCGGCGGGGGCCTCGGGGCCCTGGCCCTCTCCGGGGTACGAGCCGTCAGACGGTCCCGAGGGGGCAATGGGGGCTTGCGTGGGCTCGCTGGTCTCGGACGCCGGGTACACGCTGGACGGGGTGGCGGGCTGCGGGTACCCCGACGGGCTGGTGTAGGCGGGCTGCGGGGCGGGCGAGGACGACGGGTAGCCCGTGAACGGCGAGGCCGTGGTGAAGGGCGACGCGGTGGTGGGCCGGTAGGAGGGCCTCTGCGGCGGCCGGCTGCTGGGGGGCGACTGCGGCCGCGAGGGCTGGGGCGAGGGCTGGGGCGAGGGCTGAGGCAACGGCTGAGACGAGGGCTGGGGCACCTCCGCGAAACCGGGTGAGCCTGCGGGCGGCCTGCCGTCGGGGTAGCCTGACTGCGAGTAGTCTGGGTAGGTGGAGCTGGGGGAGGCGGGCGGCCGGGTGAAACCAGAGGGCTTTGACGGCCGGAACGGCGCGCCCGTGGGACCGCAGCCGGGACCGGCGGCGGGGCCGAAGCCAGAGGAGTCACCGCAGCCGTCTCCTGAGAAAAAGATGAGTGAAAATGTTAAAAACACTGCAATTATTGCGTCTTGACTGGAGCGCCTTACGGCGACAGGGTAGGCAAACCGGCGCACACCCCTGCATGCTTCGTGCGGGATTGCCTATCTCGCAGGCGTTAAAGCGTTGCACTTACCTGTGCTGGGCGGCCTTGTCGACGGTCTCTGAGTCGTGAAGAACGGCCTGGGTGGCGAGGCCGGGGACTCTGGCACGGGCTCAGGCTGCTCGCCAGGAGCGGGGGTAGACGACGGGTACTGCGGTGGTCGGCTGGAGAACCCAGGGCTGCCGGGGGCGGGCTTCGTGAACGACGACGGGCCGCTAGGGTATCCCGTGGGCCTGGATGGCGGCCTCGTTGCCGGCGACGAAGGGAAGGAACCGGGCTGGAACGGTGACTGCGAGCTGGGTTTGGCCGGGCTCGACGGGTACCCCGGTGCGGGGCTTGACGGGTAGGTGGATCCACCGCTTGGAGACGACGGCGACGAGGGGTACCCCGAGGCCGGGCTGTCGGGGCCAGACGGGTACTGCCCACTGGGCTGTGGCGTTGACGGGTATCCAGACGGGCGCGACGGGTACCCCGTGGGCCTGGACGGCGTGGTGAACGGGTTGCTGGCTGGAGATGAACCGCAAGAGCCAGACGCGCCGCAAGAAGGACGAGTTGGGTACTGGCTTGGTGCTGCCGGGGCGGCTGTCGACGGCCTACAGTTGTAGCCGCCAGCCCCTCCGCACCCAGACGGCTGCGGCGACGGCGATGACGGATAGCCTGACGCCGGCTGAGAGGGGCTTGAGGGCGCCGAGGGGCCCGATGGTCGTTCCTGGCCCGGACAGGGTCGGCTGAATGGAGTCTGCCCGCAGGACGCGCTTGGTCCTTGTGGGGGAGAGGTGCCGAAGGGTGATGGCGTGGAGGACGGCGATGGCGACTCGCTTGGGTACCCGCCAGATGGCCGTGACGGCTGCGCAGGGCTCGGGTACGACGGTGGCGACGTCGGCCGGGAGCTTGGGTACCCAGTGGGTGGCCGGGTGGACGGCCGGGTCGGCGTGCTGGGTCCGAATGGTGACGAGGAGGAAGGCCTGCTAGGATAGCCTGGCTTCTCTTGAGACGGGAATCCAGAGGATGGTGGGGATGGATACCCGGATGGTGAAGAGGGTTGTGATGGGTAACCAGATGGCGAAGAAGGTTGTGAAGGATATCCAGATGGCGAAGAAGGTTGCGACGGATATCCTGAGGGTGAAGAGGGTTGCGAAGGATAACCAGATGACGAAGGCTGTGAGGGATACCCAGATGGCGAAGAAGGCTGTGAGGGATATCCAGATGGGGATGACGGTTTTGATGGGTAACCAGAGGGTGATGAAGGCTGCGAAGGGTAACCAGAAGGAGAAGAAGGCTGAGAAGGATAACCAGAAGGTGAAGAAGGCTGAGAAGGATAACCAGAAGGTGAAGAAGGCTGAGAGGAAGGTGAAGAAGGCTGAGAAGGATAACCAGAGGGTGAGGAAGGCTGAGAAGGATAACCAGAAGGTGAAGATGGCTGAGAAGGATAACCAGAAGGTGAAGATGGCTGAGAAGGATAACCAGAGGGTGAAGAAGGCTGGGAAGGATATCCAGACGGGGAAGATGGCTGAGACGGATATCCTGAGGGCGAAGAAGGCTGGGGTGAGCTTGGCTGGAATGGACTTGGAGTAGATGGATAGCCACTGGGACTTGAAGGCTTTTCCTGCGATCCTGGACGGAATGGTGAGGCCGTTGAAGGTCGTGAAGGATATCCCGATGGAGTGGAAGGATAACCAGACGCGGGCCGGGATGGAGAGCCAGGGAATGGAGACGAAGGCGCAGATGGCTGAGAGGGGGATCCCGATGGAGTGGAAGGGCCACTGGGGTAACCTGCGGGAGGCTTCGACGGCGAGCCAGGGAACGGCGATGAGGGGCCGGAAGGCCTCGACGGGTAACTCGGAGCAGCTGTGGAGGGCCCACTGGGGTAACTGCCTGAGGGGCTTGAGGGTGAGAATGGCGATGACGGCGCGGAGGGCTGCGAAGGATATCCTGACGGTGTTGACGGGTATCCTGGCTGGGGACGGGACGGGGAGGAAGGCCCAGATGGCTGCGAAGGGTATCCCGATGGACTCGAAGGGCCACTGGGGTATCCTGCCGGTGGCCTCGAAGGAGAGCCTGCAAAGGGTGACGAGGGAGCAGAGGGCTGCGAAGGGTACCCAGAGGGACGGGACGGGGAGCTGGGGGCTGGAGACGAAGGCTCCGATGGTTGCGAAGGGTATCCTGAAGGGGATGAAGGTTGCGAGGGTTGCGAAGGGTATCCAGAAGGAGATGAGGGTTGAGAAGGCTGCGAAGGGTATCCTGAAGGAGATGAAGGTTGCGAAGGCCGTGACGGGTATCCAGAAGGGGTTGAAGGTTGCGAAGGCTGCGATGGGTATCCAGAAGGAGACGAAGGTTGCGAAGGCTGTGACGGGTATCCAGAAGGGGACGAAGGACCAGTTGGATAACCTGCGGGTGGCCGAGTGCTGGGGAAGGATGGGCGAGGTGGAGAGCTCGGGGCGGGCGAGGAGGGCGCAGAGGGCTGGGAAGGGTATCCGGAAGGAGAAGACGGTCCACTAGGGTAACCAGCCGGTGGCCTTGAAGGTGAACCAGGGAAGGGAGAGGACGGAGAAGATGGTTGGAACGGAGACCCCGTTGACGGTCTGCCAGGGGAAGATGGCTGACTGGGCGAGGATGGGTAGGGCGTGGACGGGCTGCTGGGGAAGGTGCTTGGCGACGGCGTGGACGGTCCGAAGGGTGAGGGGCTCGAAGGGTATCCCCCTACGGAAGGAGTGGAGCCAGTCTCGTAGCTGGGCTGCGGCTGCGGCGTCGTGAAAGGCCCGAAAGGTGAACCTGGCGGCCTCGACGACGAAGGCTGGCCGCAGCCAGGAGTGCCTGGTCGCCCACACGACGGTCCCGAGGTAAATCCTCCTGGCTGCGTGGGCTCGGACGGGTAGCCGGGCTGCGGCTTCGGCGTGGTGAAGGGTCCGAACGGCGATCCCGATCCTGGTGGCCTCGAGGAGGCGGGCTGGCCGCAACCGGGAGTGCCTGGACGCCCACACGACGGTCCGGAAGATCCCGACGAGGGCGTAGTTGGGTAGCCAGGCCTCGAGGGATAGCCTCCTGGTGACTGCGACGACTGGCCGGGGTAGCCAGGGCGGGTCGGCCGGCTGGGTCCAGCTGGCGTGGAGCCCTGTGAGCCACAAGCGTATCCTGTTCCTGGCCCGCAGGACACCTGGCTGTCAGGGCTCGGAGTGACAGGGCGCTGGGGGAAGCCCGGGCGGGGTGGCCTTGGACTTGGCCGCTGTCCGTAGTTTCCGGCGTCTGGAATGGGCTGCTGCTCGTCTGGCCCTGATGGTCCAGATGGTCCAGATGGTTGTTGAGATCCAAATCCTTGATCAGGTGAGCCGTTCGGACTGTCTGGGCCGTTAGGACCGTTGGGGCCGTTGGGGCCGTTGGGACCGTTGGGTCCGTTGGGTCCGTTGGGTCCGTTGGGCCCGGTAGGACCGGTGGGACCGTCAGGGCCGTTTGGACCGTTAGGACCGTCGGGTCCGTTTGGTCCATTAGGACCGTTGGGCCCGTTTGGTCCATTAGGACCGTTGGGCCCGTTAGGACCATTAGGCCCGAAAGGGCCGTTAGGGCCGTTTGGCCCAAAGGGACCGTTAGGTCCGTTAGGACCGTTGGGTCCGTTCGGACCGCTTGGGCCGATCGGACCACTTACGCCGTTTGGCCCGTTGGGTCCGTTCGGACTATCAGGGTAGTAAGGCCCGTTGGGACCGTCAGGACCATTGGGGCCAAGCGGACCTTGCGATGGGCCTTGTGGGCCGCTGGGTCCTAAAGGCGGTTGCTGTCCAAATGGACCTTGCGAGGGGCCTTGCGGGCCGCTGGGTCCTGAGGGCGGTTGCTGTCCAAACGGACCTTGCGAAGGGCCTTGTGGGCCGCTGGGTCCTGAAGGTGGTCGCTGTCCAAACGGACCCTGCGACGGGCCCTGTGGACCGCTGGGCCCAGCGGGCTGTTGTCCGAAGGGGCTGGGCGGCCGCTGCGGCCTGCTGCTGCTGCCCTGCGGTCCCGACGCGGACGACGTCTCGGCGCCGGGGCCGGTCGGCCGCTGCGGCTTGGACGGCGACAGCACCTCTTCGATCTGGTTGTTGTCGACGGGGGACGGCACTCCCTGCGGCCGCTGCGGCTTCTGCGACGGCGTGCCCAAGCTGGACGAGCCGGACGCCGACGACGAGGGCCGCGAGCCGCCCTTGGAGCCGCAGCCCTGGGGGAAGTGCAGCTGGTCGTACGGGGTGACGACGCCGTGGTGCTCGTGGTGGTTGTTGTGGTCCTGGTGGTCGCCGTGGTCCTCGTGGTGGTGGTGGCTGGGGTCGTGCTCATGCAGGAACAGCTCCACGGGCTGGCCGGGCGTGACGGTGCGGTAGCCCCAGCCGTCCGACAGGTAGTGGGTGACGGTCAGCTTGCCGAACGGGTCGATGTACCCGTAGCAGCCGTAGACGATGCCGTCGGGGCCCTTGTCCTCGTGGTGGAACTGGCCGTTGGGGCCGATCTCGTACCCGAAGTCGTACGTTTCTGAAAGGAAAGAAAACGGCGGCGTGAATCCAAGGCGGCGTGACGCAAGGCAACAAAGCAAGAAGGTCGAAAAGTCTACTTTTGTTGATGTTCTGATCCAAGTACTGCTTCTTGTCCTCATCTTCGATGTTGAGGACGAAGTCCAGGTCCTCTGCTCGCTCCACGCCGCGGTGCTGGTACTGCTGTGCCTCCGCCGCCGCCAAGAAGACGACCAGCGCCGCGAGCAGCGCGCATCCCCGAGCCTGCAACACCAAGGCACTGTTTAGAGAACGCACAGACGGACGGACAGACAAACAGACAAACGGATGGAATGAGTGCCCTTCGCCTCGCCTCAGCGTCGCCCAGCAGAGTGCTGCCCACCCGGCCGGGCCGCTCGAAGGGTTGCCTGCCCACCGGGCGCCGGGCGCGCCGCCGCTGCCGATCGGCCACGGACCCCAGGACGGCAGCGCCACGCCGCCACACGCCGCCACAAGCTGCAAGGTGAAGCATTCTCCACACATGCCAGCCCCGCCAGCCTTTTACAGCCCCTGTCTCTTTCCCGTGTAGGCAAATGCACCTCTTTTTATCGCGGGACAACGCCACTCGACTTGACGGCGTGTAACGCAAACGCTGCATCATCAGCTGGGCCCAAGGCCGGCCAGTCCCCCCTCCCCCTCTCCCTCTCTCTCTCGCTCTTCGCAGCGTGGACGACCGTGCTCCTCCTGACTCACTCCTCTTTCTCCTGCGGCTAAATATCGCCCGGCGAGCGAGTTGCACACACACAGACACACACACACACACACACACACACAGTCCCGTGCGTCGGAGTGGAGCCCGCGCTCGGTGGGGGCGGCTATTCACGCCAAAGTTTCCCACGCGCGTCCGCGCCGTTTCAATTTAACGCGGCAGGAGTTTGTCGCACCGCCCGCGTCGCCCGGGCCCGGGCCTGGCTCGGCAGGCTGTCGGGTTTATACCTGCAGGTTTATACCTTGCCGGCCCACCCGCCGAGACGCGGCGCCTTCCGGCAAGCAGATGCCGTTGTCTGTGACTCGCCGCGTTACTCTCGGCTCAGTGCCTTGCGGGCCTCGCAGCACCTCGCAGGCACCCAAGTGCCCCGAAGGGCCTGGAACGGTTTGCCATGCTGGAGCAGCCAAGCTGCCCCTGTTGCAGGACGACCTGAAGCAAGTCGCGTTGCTGGCAGTGCCGGTGACGCTGCAGGGAGCTGCTCCAGACCGATTCCAAGAGTCGTTCTCGTCGCTCTGGCTATACGGGACGCCCCATGAGTGCGAGAGAGACAGAGCGACGAAACCGTCTCGGAATCAGTGTGCAGTGTGCCCACGGAATTTCGCCATTATAGGCCTTCCGGTCGTATAAAGACTTGGAGCCACAAAAAAGGCCAGCAAGCACAATGCTGAAACCTAATTTCAGAATTAAGTTTCTGGTTTTATCACCGTTCGCGGGCGAGCGTTTACGAGGTGAGACCCCTAAAAAGCAGGAAGATAGAGAAGTTATCGTGGTGTGGTGGGCACGAGAGTGCGACCGCTAGCAATCAGGCGCGGCGAAGTCGCCAACCGTTAGAGGCGTCCATCCGAAACTTGCCGCCGAAAAGCGTGTCGCGCTCCTTGGCGACGAGCCTGGACGTGCCCCTCCAGACCGGAAGCTGGGTGGGCCGGGACCGCCTGCCGGGCCGGAGTGGCCGGCACGCGAGCCAGCGTCGCCCGGATCGACACCGGCGACATGCAAATCCGAGTCGTCTGGTATGAATATTGATCGGGCCGCTTGGCGCGGAGCGTGGCGGGGAGCGTGGCGGGGAGCGTGGCGGGGAGCGTGGCTCGGGGTGGCGCTTGGACGTAGCTCGCCCTGCCTTTGGCATGCACCAGGCACGTCCCTACCGGTCCACTTAGATAAGGAAATTACGGCGCTAATCTGCCCGGGACCGATTCCGAGGGTCGTTTTCGTCGCTCTGTCTCCCTCGCACTCGCGGGACGTCCCGTATAGGTGCGAGAGCGACTTGTTTCGGAACGCTGCAGCGCGCGGTAGTGGCGTGTGTTGCCGGCGTAACGCGTTTGCGCGTTCGAAAAGCATTTTTCCAGTGCAGTCGCCGAGCCGCCCGTTTTCGGAGCGGTTCGGCGCGCTTTGCCGCCACTTCGGCGGGTATCGGCCGCCCCTCCGAGTCGGGGATGATTAGATCCGCTATTCAGGCCATGATTCGATGAGGCGAGACGCGGGCCGACTTGGCGCCGACTGCCGAGTCCCTCCACGTTCTGCGTTCGTCTAAATTATCGCGACGCGCTTGCCGCGCACACTGTTGACACAGCAAATGTTGACGCATTAGGGGCCCATTTGAAATTTTGTCGGACCGAAGGGCAGCCGCCTTGCAAAGAAGGAACAACTACAAAAGAGTCAAACTTCTCTGAAATGAACACGGGGGTGAAGGTTAATGGTCGCACAGCTGGTGGACAAGTGGCCCCGGCGACCACGGAGTGGCCGCGGAGTGACCGTGGAGTGACCACGAACTGCCCGGCCGCACTGCAGTGCGACTAGCTCACTGCGGGCCCAGGCACAGTGGGCTAGAAGATCGGTAGAGGCGGTCAAAACTCTAGACGCGTTTTGAGCTCCAGAGTCGCTAAACAGGACTCGAAGCGAACGTGTGACCCCATCGTTAGATTCCCCATTCGTAAAGCAATCCATTGGTGGGGTCACACGTTAGAGTCGGGTCCCATTTCGCGACTCTGGAGCTCAAAACGCGTCTAGAGTCCTGGCCGCCTCCGCCGGTCTTCTGGCCCACTGTGCCAGGCCCAGTACCCTCCGGCCGCCCCGGCACAAGCGAGCAGAACAGGTCTGGCAACCGGAAACACATGGACGCATCGACGAGTCCAAACTCCAACTCCATGAATCCGGCCTGCCGTTTTGCGTGCCGTTTCGCCTTTTTAAATATTTTATTTTTTAGGCGCAGCGCGGTGCTGTAGGCACGGCGCTGCGATAGCCGGGAGTAATAACATCGATCAGGAAAGCGGCGGCGGCCCGGCAGGTCGCCCTACGTCGGGGTGGCGTGCGGGGGGGGGGGGGGTAGGGTAGGCCGGGCCACTGAAATCACGTCCGAGGGAAGCACTGTCGGCACACTGTCCTGCCGGTGGCGGCTTCAGGGTGATGCCAGAGTCGGAGTGCTAGCGTGGCGCGGCGTGGCGCCTGCGACCGCAAGCAGCACGGTGTGGTACGGTGCAGCGAGGCGGCCCGTGACCTGGGGCAACGCGGCGTAGTGCGGTCACTTTTACTTTTGGCCGCGCGGCGGCCTTCGTGCCCACCCGCCTCACTCACACTCACGCGCACCTACACTCGCACCACACATTGCCGGGCCGTTGAGCCGTCGGCAGTGCGATTGAGTTTCGGCACGGCCGGCGCGAGATTAGTGTACACCGATGGAAGCTTCGCGCGCACACACACATGCAAACATAAACACACAAACACTGACCGCTCGCTGAGTAGGTACGGCCACTCTCCGGCAAAGACCGCCGGGCCGGGAAGCGCGTGCTACCCGATGAAAAAAAAGTGATTCCAAATCCGTGCTGAGCTAAGTGAGGCAGAATACGCATGAGTCAGACCTGTGTGCGTGCGGTGCACACAGAAGACGAAGCAGTTTCGTGGTTTTCCGTTCTCCGCACGTCTGGTTGTGCGGTTAGTGCCACCTTTTTCACCAACGCCACGATTATTTCATGTTTTATTCCCCCCCTTTTTTTCTGATTGAATAAATATTGCCGCCGTTTCTCGCTCCTGTTGCGCACCGCGTTTTCGGCGACGCATTTTCTGGGGGACCCGCGGAGATTTATGTGAAAACGCGGTGCGAAGTCTGTCTCTCTCGCACTTATGGGGCGTAGCGTGTGGGTGCGAGAGAGACGGCAAGGCTCGGAAAGAGTCCGCCGCGGCGCACGGCGGGCCGGTAGTGCAGCCTTACACGCAGTGCTAGCCGAGACTGGACTGGACTCTAGAGCCGATCTGTCGTGCTCGCCGGTCCGCACCAGTGCCCTGCCCGCCCTGCCACGCTCTGCCACACGCCCTGCCACGCGCCCTACACTCTGAACTCGGAACGCGGCCAGAGGCACAAACACTGTAGCAGTCAAAACACTTACAAGTTTTTATCTTTTTGTCGGAAATCAATTTTTTTCTCTCAAAAGGCTTTCCTTGTTTTCGTCACTTAAAAATCCCCGAGCCGTACGGGGCGCAGCGAAGAGGTAAGGGAGAGAGGGAGAGAGATAGAGGGGGGGGAGGAGCGTGGGAGAGAGAGAGGGAGGGGAGAGGGGCAGGGATGGGTGGGAGAAAGGCCGGCAAGGCCGCGGCCCGGCGGCCACTGGACTGGACGCGCGATATCGCGAATCACTCTACATTCACACAAGACGAGCCCCGCGCGGCCGGTGGGGTAGTGGGCCAGTGGGACCGCGCGGTCTTGTGTATAGGAAGCGGTCGGTATACACGCTTTTTGTTTTAAATCTGAGAGCGAAACTTGGCGTATGCACCCCAGAATTCAGCTCCCCGCACGCTGGTCCGAGTGGTCCGAGCGAACCCGTTCAAATTCAGCAGTCCAGCTCCCCTAATCAACATCGAACACCGCTTTTTCTTCCCTGTCGTTTTTGCGTCGTCCGGCGAGTCCGGTCGGTCCGGAAGGGCGATACATTACAGTGGCGTCGCGTACAGATCGGGACGCCCTGCCACGGCTCCACCACCCGGCCGCCCCCTCAGCCCGGCCCTAGTTTCGTTTTGTGTCCAGCAAGAGATTTTCCTCCAGGAGGCCTCACCGCATCATAGGGTGATGAACACCGTGTCGTTGGGAATCTTTCCACCGCGCACCCATCACTCAGCAGTCTCGCTCCGAGGTGTCGTCCCTCTTTCTGTCTCCGTCGCACTCACGCGGCGCTCCGCCGAAGTGCGAGAGAGACAGAGTCGAAGTCTCTCCGTGATCGCCCTTACGGCAGCCGTGACCACGCACACGCCGTGCTCGTCCATCGCCAGGAATCAGATCGGTCAACCACGTCCATCCAGTCGCCCCGTCTCTGTCGCGCCCCCGCGGGACGCCGCGTGCGAGCGAGAGAGACAGAAAGCGCCGTTTTCGGAGTGCTTGCAAAAGGGGACGTCGCTGCGTGCTGCGCGTGTGTTTTGCAACGAGTGGCGTTAAAACATTTGCAGCAAAACAGTCGGATTGACTGGCCTGGCGCAATACGCGCCTATCGGTGATATGCAAATCGCCTTCCGGATGATAGGCCCTTACTGATAGGCCCACTGATGTGTGTGTGTGTGTGTGTGCGCGCGTGTGTGTGTGTGTGTGTGTGTGTGTGTGTGTGTGTGTGTGTGTGTGTGTGTGTGAGAGAGAGAGAGAGTGTGTGTGAGTGTGGCGTCCCTTCGGCTGGCGCGGCTGGCGCGACCCGTCGGTGCGTGTAAAGATGGCCCATTGTGCTTGATGCGGTGCGGTGCGACGCGACGCGGCCCCAGGGCCTTGCGCGGCAGGATGTTACACCGACAGGTGGGGTCACCCACCGGAAGGGGAGTGTACCGCGGCAGTTGGACCGCAAAGGAACACACTCGCGGCGCCACTCCACCGTCATTTATGGCACTTTTTGAGGACGTTCGTCGAGGTCCAAGCGCATTGGCAACTCCGACCCGCACTCCGAGAGTCCTTTTCGTCGCTCTGCCTCGCGCCTATTGAGCACGCCCCATGAGTGCGAGGGGGTATGCACTCGCGTAATAGTCGGTTCACTCTATGTGTAATAGCACGCGTAATAATACGCGTAATAGTCGCGTAATAGCCGAAATTGTCAAAATTTGATCAATTTTGGTGTGTTTTAGGCCGTTTTTAGCTAACTTCCGATTAATTTGTGGCGTAATAGAGCGTAATAGCGTAATAGTCGGTACACAGGTTCAGAGAGCGCATACCCCCTCGCATGAGTGCGAGGGAGACAGAGCGACGAAAACGACTCTCAGAGTCAGTCTGCTGCCCCCGAAACATAGGGAGTCGAGGAAATAGGGTGACTTGGCCGCGCCTGTAGTTGACGTGCCGTTTCTTCGAATTATTCGACGTCGCCTTCCCTTCCAGGCCTGGAAGTGCACCCGGAAATGGGGGGGGGGGGGGGAGTGGGTGGATCTGTAATGGTTCCGACTGTCAAAGTCCATGAATTTTGACGTGTGGCCGACCGTCGGCCATCAGTTAGAAAGGCGCGGTCTTTCCATCTCGAGCTGACATTTGACTCGATGCCTCGACGGGACGTTTTCCCCATTATTTCGCAGCCAAAAGGACGAGGGGGGGGGAGGGGAGGCACACCGTGAGTCATGGCTTGATAGCACCCTTCTTGCGAAAACTCGAGCCAGCTAGGCTTTGGACCAAAAGTAACAATAACAGGCGCGAGACTTATTGTTGTGCTGCTTTCCGATTGAATAGCGACCGGAGTGAGAGAGAGAGAGAGAGACGCGGGTTTGCAGGGCAAGAGAGACAAAGGGGAGGGGAGGGGAGGGGAGGGGAGGGGAGGGGGGAGTCACGATCAGCTTCGTCAGTCGAACAGTCGAAGATGAGGCGGAGGGGGCGGCAGTGTACTTTTCAAGGACTTTGGCCACTTCGATGCGGCGCAGCGGTCTTACAATGTAGGACACTGTAGGACCGTGTCACCTGACGGCCTGCCTGCAGGGCCCTGCAGTAACCTCCGTCGCCAAGTGCGCGGCCCGGCGTTTCAGGGAACACCTGTACGTGCCACTCCGGCCGATGGGTTTTCATCGGAGACGCGTCCGGATCACCGTCTCTCGCGGTCGCGGCTCCGGCCGCAGCACCGCGGCGACTCACAGTGGGCCAGAAGACCGGTGGAGGCGGAAAAAGCTCTTGACGCGTTTTGAGCTCCAGAGTCGCTAAACAGGCCTCGAAACGAACGTGTGACCCCACCAATGGATTCCTCGTTTGGAGAGCAATCCGTAGGTGGGGTCACACGTTCGGTTCGAGTCCCATTTAGAGACTCTGGAGCTCAAAACGCGTCTAGAGTTTTGTCCGCCTCCACCGGACTCTGGCCCACTGTGCGACGTACCCTGCCGCCAAGGCAACCACCCTCGGCATAATGGAGAGCTTTCTGACTCGTCGGTGACACAACGCCAGCGAACGAACGGCACGAAGACAGCCGTAAAAAAAATAATCACTTGGCAAAGAGAGAACGGCCATGCTTTAGAATCTCAACTACTGGTGACACGGTGGAAGAGGACTGCCATCAAATCCAGACCGGCCAACCCTTCCGCGCTCCAGGCCCGGAGCGCGCCCGGGTGCCAGCGCGCGAACACCAAGCGTGGGTCTGCAATTTCCTGCAGCAGCACTGCTTTTGTCGCGTTCTCTCTCGCACCCTTACGGGACGCCCTGCGAGTGCGAGAGAGACAGAGCGCAGTGAATCAGCCTACAGGTGTCGATTTCCCCTTTCATAATAAAACGGGGGAGCCTTTAGGAAATTGGAGAGCCAGTGGGGCGGCGGCCCCCGCGCATCGCGCGCCACGCGTCAACACGTCGTCGTCGCGTCGCGGCGCTTGCAGTGTGGTCGACCGGCAGAGCAGGGTGCGACCGCTGCACTGTGGGCAGTGTGGCCGGCAAGTCCGTCCAGACGGGCTTCATGCTACCCTGCTGGACACCCAATGGAATCTCCCCGCATTTGCAATTCCGACTCAAAGGCGCTCGGCGACAAAGGGCGGCTTGTTTTTGCCAGTGCTGCCTTCCGAGGCGCGGCGGGGCGGCGGCGCGGCGGGGGAGGGAAGGTTGTTTTCGTCGTTTTCGGCCGAATTCAGGGGAATTGGTGAGGTCGCCTGGAAAAAGCGTTCCTGTTCAGGTGGGCTGTCGTCACACACTCTAAATAATTGCGCCTCATGGCAGCTTTATACCAAATCAGGTGTGACAAAACTGTAGTCTAAGGGCTAAATTTTCAGAATTGTTCCCAGTTGGTTGAAATTCCCCAGAGACTTCTAGTGTGCTGCGGAGCCGAACCAACGCCAAGTAGCGCTGCCCCTCGAGTCCGTCTCCAGGCCGACCACTCGTTGCGTTGACCGACAGTTTTTTGCTTTGTCTGTGTTTTGTGTGGCGGCGCGCGTATGCGTGTTTAGTTCGCCGATAAAATGGAGCGCTGCCCGGCCGTCTAGCCGTCTGAGCGGTGTCCACGTGTCCGCGGCCGGACGGACGCATTCAGGCGGCCGGCCCTCAACCCTTCAGCCCTTCAACTCGCGGCCCTCACAGCCCACAACCCTTCAGCGCGCAATAGCTGGCCAAACCTGGCATAACTAGTGTACGCCCCGTTGTTGTGGAGTGTGCCCTGTGGCAGGTTCATTCCGAACGGGCGCTCCGTCTCTCTCGCACCTCCGGCGCGCCCTTCGCAGGGCTGAGAGGGACGAGAGCACCGGTCGAAGCCGGCCTGCAGCCCGATGCCTCTAGTGCTGACACTAATGGGCTCACTTTTAAAGGGCCGCCCCGCTTGCCAAACCGAACCGACGCAGTTTTTTTTTTTGGAGCGCGCTTGTTTAATCGATTCAAGTAATGTATGTTGGTGCAATTACACACGGCGCAACGCCTCGGCCGCCTCGGCACACGTGCGGCGTGCGCGTATGAGTGTTTGCAGTGGCGTGGACCACACGGCCAGAAAAAAGAAGAGACTCCATTCACTCACCTGCTAACTTATGGATGACCCCCTTTCAATTAATCCTCTCTCTCTCACTCAGCCGGCTGACCCGGCTGTGCACATACCGGTTTCATAACACCCACACTACCGCTGCCCCTCCCGAGCCGTGCCGCCGTGCCGCCGTGCCGCGGGCCGGGGGCGCCGCGCGATGTTTGGACTGACAGCGCGCTCCCCTCTCTCTCTCTCTCTCTCTCTCTCTCTCTCTCTCTCTCTCTCTCTCTCTCTCTCTCTCTCTCTCTCTCTCTCTCTCTCTCTCTCTCTCTCTCTCTCTCTCTCTCGCTCTCGCTCTCCCTCTCTCTCTCTCTCTCTCTCTCTCTCTCTCTCTCTCTCTCTCTCTGGATGGCCGCTATCCACGCCACTCCGCGTTTCTGGCTTCCCAACCTATCGAGCCATCCTCGTTTGAGAGGCGATAAAGCCTTCACTGCCGACATGTCGTGTGTGGGTAAAGCGAGTTTTTCATTTCACGAGCGGCCCGCCCGGGAAAACTTCCGAAGGTCGGTCGAGCTTTTCGCCAGTGGAGAAATTTCGGTGGAGGTTGTCTCTGCGCGTGCGTCGGTGTGGGGATGGCGTTGGGGGCGGGGGTGGGGTGGCAACCCTACGCGGTGCAGGTGGTGGCAACCTGGTGATAAACCCCTCGCTGGCACCCTGCGAGGGGCAACCCTAGGAGTAATGAACGCGCGTCGCAATAAATAAACGGCCTTTCGCAGTGGGCTGACAGCACCGACAGCACTGACAACCCCGTCGCGATTGTGCATCGATCGTTTTCGGCGCGCCAGCCTTCCGGTGCCGGAGTTTGTGTGGCGTCGCGGCGTACGCGGCGTACGCGAGCTCCCATTAGTCGGCCAACTTATGTTGCCGCCGTCGTGCCTACTCCGTAGAACCGCGTGGCGCGGCGCGGCGTGGCAGTGTATCAACCCTCAAGCGTGCCACCTTGCCGGTCGCTTCGCGCTCAACGAGCCGCGATCCCGCTGAAGAACCCGCAAGGCCTTTTGAGAACGTCGCTCTGTCGTCGCTCTCTCTCGCACTCATGGGACGCGCCGCAGGGGTGCGAGAGAGACAAAAAGGCCCCACGGCTCCGAGCGTGGGCGCGCTCGATTGAAGCTTCTTTTTGCATATCGGTCACGAAACGAGGATTCGCCGAGGGGGTAACGACTGGTAGATTTCGTGTCAGCTGGATTACGAATTACCCCGGATTACCCTGGATTACCCCCAAATTACCTCCGGATCACAAAAAAAATTCCTGGATTACCTTTGGATTTAGCAGGAGATTACCCCGGATTGCCTCAAAATTTTCCCGGATTACCTCAAAATTTCGGGTCAATC